TATCCTCTCATTCTAAAAACCATGGGGCCTCCAGACTAGGAAACTATGAGCCGAATCCTGGCTGCTGGATGTTAAGGAAGACACAGCGGAGTGGAAAGATTTATGTAGGGATAGAAATACTGTCACATGATGCTAGGTTTCTAAAAATGCAGTCAATCGAGAAATAAAAAGGCTTGACGTGGAATATAGTCAGCTATAAAAGTATTAACCTTCGGAAGAGAATGAACTAATGTTTGCAAAATGCCAGAAAGTAGAGGAAGACCCAATCAAGCTTAAAAATACATGCACATAGATCCTAGAGCTATGAATGTTATTACCCCATGAAGAGATCAAGAATGACAATTTGAACAATTTCCCATAAGAATTCACTAATAAACTTGTGGGCTAAGTCATCCATTGACTTAAAGAAATCAAATGTTTTCAGGATGATATTATGGAAGGGCTGATTGCCATCTTGGTTTCAGGAAACCAAGAGCCAAACACATTTCTTTTCACATTCAACAGATCAGAAAAAGTGGTAAATTTTCTGTTGAGTTCTGAGGAATCTCATACTGCTGGAGCAGCTACAGTTCGTTAAGTCTAGAATTTACATTGAGAGGAAACAGCTTTCTGCAGATTTACTTTTCCCATGCCAACTTCCTAACGAAATGAACAAGTAGCTCCCAAGGTGATGCCCTCTCCTTCTAGCAGTGGTTCTGGCTGTCTGTCCAGAGAAAGGAAATCTTAAATGCCTGTTCATCAGTTGGGCATTCCTGTGCTAACCACTGTCTTGATCCCACTGAAATATGTCGATAGTTATAACAAGCACACAAGTGAATCACTACAATCTCGCTCAGAATTTAAAACAATATCATGCTCAGGCAATTAACAATAAAAGTACAATTGGAATGATGTGGCTACATGAACAATAGAAGACGCTGATGCAAATAGTTTGGTAGTATAATCACTTGAAATGTACAACAAAAGGTAGCCTAACGCATACTTAAGTTCTTGTGAGATCATTGTGATTAGTGTAATTAGACTCACAGAGTGAGTGGTCAAAAACCAAGTGTTAAAATAAGTTCTTTTTCGAATCCTTTTAAGAAGGCCCTGATGGTCCCAGATGGGCTGAAGGGAGGGGTGGATGGGCAGTGCTTGGTCAGTGGTGACGATGACTACACAGGAAGAGGTAGAGCTCAGTTGTGGGTGGTTTTCTGCAGTGCTGAATCTGCACACACAGCTGTCCTGAGAGCTGTCTCTAAATAGTTTCTTCCTCTAAAAAATGAAGTTTCTGAAAGCAAAGTGTGTGTTTCTTGAGTGTGTCTTTATCCTTGACCAGTGCTAAGGCCATGGGGTACATACAAGATAACAAACCCCAGGTCTGCTATTACTGTATATTAGTAGTTCTAACCCTAGGTAGGCTACTTGTGCTGCCACAAAAGAGAAGAAAAAGACAGGAGGACATGATACAACCAGGCACAGCATAAATCAGCTAAAGGAGACACAAACAGAGTTGGCATAACTTTTGGGGCCAACTACAGAGAAGAGAATGGCTGCTCTGAAACCCTTTCAAGGAAAAACGAATACAAAGCTCCTAACTTCATAAAACCAGCAAACGAATTGGGTACCTTTGTTTTCTCACTCAAGGGATATCTAATAGGAATTCCAAGCTTTATTCTTCGGCAGGGCAACACACACAGGAAAGACTTCCCCTGTTGTTGAAATCATTGAAATATTTCTGTACCCCTTGGAAAGGAACTACTGTCTGAACTACCTGGAGTGCCACCAGCTACCCCATTTGTCCCAGGTCCTCCACTGGGAGCCCCCAGACCTCTGCCCTCTCCAGCAGCTGCAGGGTGAATGCCTAACCCTGAAGGACCTTGCTGTGGCCCTGCAGTGTCCGTTGTGACTGATCGGTGCCTGTACAGCTCTGATAGTGAAATAGAGTCAATAGGCAATAGTCATAAGTGACAATGGCGACTAAAACAGAGCATTATAAAAGAAACTCCAGTACAAGATAACAAGAGAGGTAGATAGAGATAAAAGGAGAGACAAGCCCAAGGTTGCCTGGGGTGGGGAGCGAAGGACTCTTAGCGCTGAAGGATCTTGGGTTCACTGTATGAAGAAGGACTCCCCTTGGTCCTGAGTGGTGTAGCGATACTCTAGGAGAAGCTGGGAAGGCGAGCAGATCACAGCTGAGAAGCAATAGGAACCTCAGAGGGGGAAAGTCCTATGTAAATATGCAAGAGGATTAAAAATAGAAAGAGGGAATATTAATCCAAACCACAAGTGTATTTTCAGATTGCCAAGGTCCTGAACTCCTGCGTCTTACGCACCTCGATGTGAATGGTGCTCTTACCAAAGTAAGAGAGAATTTAGCTCAACTGAGGGACATATAAGGGAGGTTAAGGGAACAGTTCCAGATGGGGTAGTATAAAAATGCAAAAAGAACATTGAATTCCTTTAAAGAGTAAATGCCACCAAAGGCTCCAATTCAGCACATGCATGTGCAACCTCAGAGCTCACTGAACTTATGAAATATTCCTTTGGGGTATGGCATGAAATTTGGCTATGCAGTAATATTTAATTCATTTAGCATATATTTATTGTGTTTATATGTTTGGTCTCAGTTAATACTAAAAAATTCAGAAATAGGCCCCATGCCCAAGTTTTAAGTAAATAGAAATTTATTGTGACTGCTTCTTCCAACCCCTGCCTTTTCCCCTCTTTGCTCTCCTGTGGTCAATCCAGCCCCCTCTGAGGGACGAATGCCTTTGGTTCAAGTGGTAACCCCTTTCACAGTGACCCAGAGGAGTGAGTCTCTACCACCACAACAGTTGGAAAAGGAGGCTTTTGGGCACCACCACAAGGGTTGGGAAAGGGCTTTTTGGGGGGCTCGCTCCCTGTAACTCATTTGTCCTGGGGGTGGAAGGAAGGATGCCTCAGACTGCAGATGCTGCGCATTTCAGGTGTGTGGTTGCAGTTGTCCATGCAGCCAGGAGGTCTCTGTTTCTTGTAGTCAAGCATCGGCACAAAGGACTTGATAGAATTTGAGCTGAAGAGTGTCCTAGCTTCCCAGCAGACAGGGAGCCACCAATGCAGCAGGTACACAGGGAGGGGGACTGTCAAGGAGCATTTATTGCTGACAAAGGAATTGCTGCCCCGTGATGGTAGGAAAGAGCAAACCAGCTCTAAGTTGATTTCATTACTGGTTTTAAATGCTCTACAGACAACGTATGCTTTTATTTACTACGTGGGGGCGGGCCACTCCCACAGCCCTGCCCACCCCCTGCCTAGCACACACCCCTGCAGCAGAGCCTGTTTCTGAGCACCTTTCACAGGTTTTCCTCCGACCTAAAGTCTGAGAAGTTTTCTCAGAATGAACTGACAATGGCCAAGTTAGGAACAAAGGCAGAGGCAGGCAGAGAACTTGGGTCTTTATGTCCTATGAGGACACCCTCCCTCCAGGGGAGGAAAGAAGCAGGCTATGGCTCTTGGCAGGGCAGCCACCCTCTACCCGCACCCTCCTGCTCAGTCTCTGGTGACTGAGGCATCGCAGGAGGCCCAGCCTGTGTCCTCCAGTTGCTAGGGCGATTTAAAAATAGCTCCTGCAGCCAGAGAAGGGGGGCAGGGAAAGAATAGAAGATAAGTTGGCCTTTTGCAGGAAAGCCAAAGGAGAGAAATCCCGTGTTGTCTTGATGGGGGGCGGGGTGCTGTGTGTTTACTGTGATTCTTGACCGAAGGAACTTTTTAGTCCTCGGTCTGCTGTGGGCTCTTTCTGGGCAAGACCTGGCTGTCTCTGGAGAAGGCCCTGTTTACTCCGTGGGCTAGCAGCCTGGAGCACACCGGCAGTTTCTGCAAAGGAAGAAGAAACGCTGGGTGCTCCGGTTCAGAATGACTGTTCTGCTAACACAAGGAGATTGAGGCTTTGCAAATCAGGCCTGTCAACGCAGCAGTCCTATTGGGAGGGGCTGTGAGCAGGGAAGAGCCATGGGACTCTTCTAGGCTCAAGGCCAGCAACATCCTCTTCAATTTTTGCAATAGGAATTCCCATCTTTGGTATCAATGTACATGGGTGACACCCTGCGTGGGTAATACCATCCAGAGTCCCAGGCAGATGCCATCCTAACTTTAGGCTATTTTCTTGGTTTAATGTGAGTGTTGGAGGCCCAGTGTCCCACGAAGCTGACCAGCTGAGTTTGAAAATTACTTAGTGGGTGTCCCAGGAAGCTGCTATGGTCTAAATCTGTCTCCGTCTGCCCCCTCTTTACTTAAGAGACTCTACCTCACCATTACCAGGCTTTGGCAGAAATCAAAAGTGGTTCTTTTTTTCAGGAAAAGATTCAAGACTCTGGCATTTAAACTGAGTGACTGTCACAGCCCAGCTTCTTGTTAGTTCAGCCACCCTGTACTTCCCATACTTTGCTAGTGGAACTACTTCAAAACGTGGTGCCAACACAGCCAGACAGAGTGTAGTGTAGGCCCTGGGGAGGTGGCACTGTTCGAAATGGGAGGTGGCCCAGAATGTGTTTATATACACATATTTTAGTTTATCATAATAACGAATACACAAAATTTATGAAATTTCAGAGGTATCTCAGGAAACCACAGTGTCCATAGATGAGTGGTTCTCAAAGTGCGGTCTGTGGATCCCCTGGGGTCCCTGAGACCCATTATTGGGGTCTACATGATTGAAACCATGTTTGCAATGAAACTAAGATGTTATTTGCCTTTTTCACGCTGTTGACATTTGCACTGAGGGTGCAAAAGCAATGGTGGCTGCAACAAAATACCTTAGACTGGAGAATTTATAAACAACAAAAATGTATTGCTTTTAGTTCTAGAGGCTGGGACATACAAGATTAAGGCTTCAGAAAATTCTATGTTTGCTGAGGGCCCATTCCTCACAGGCAGCGACTTCTACCTGTGTCCTCCCATGGCAGAAGGAACAAGGCAGCTCCCTTCAACCTCTTTAATAAGGGCATGAATCCCATTCATGAAGGGGAACCCTTATTCTTTAATCATTTCCCAAAAGGCCCCACCTGTTAACACTACCACATTGGGCATTAGGTTCCAACATGGGAATTTTGAGGGACACCAAGATTCAGATCATAGCAATGGGTAAAACTGCTAGAGTCTGGAGATAGCACCAAACTGTGCCAAAAGGCATCATGTTCTTCATCATCATGCATTTCTGTAAATTAAAAAAAAAAGCCACTTTTACCTATTGGCCATGACCAAGCAGTAAAAATATATTTTTACTTTATAAAATTCTGAGTGACAAAATGAGTATTATGTGTAAAGCACTTCTGCTACATACTGAAGTAAGATATTGTCTTGAGACAAATCACTTATGAGTTGAGTTGTGAGACAAACTGGCTACTTTTTCATAGAGCACTACATTTATTTGAAAGAATTACTAACACATACACTATTGTTGCCCAGACTTAGGAGTTTGGCACACATTTTTCTCACAAATGAGCTAAGTTAGCTTAATGCTTCAAGAGAAACAACTGGCAACGTTTTTAGCAAATGATAAAATTCAAGTTTTCAAATGAAAATTAGAAAACTTATATCTATGAACTTAATAGCTTCCAAAGACTTTTCTGATAAGATGGTAGTGATATTGATGAATTTACCTTTTTGATATTCTATAAGGAAATAAGATCTGCATAACTCAGTAAATCAATATTTTCTATTGACCAATGCATGTTGTTACAAAATCATACATGGTAAAAGCTCAAATCAAAGTGCAAGACAGACAAATGTATTTTAATGTAACAGAGTGTGAAAAGTTTATTGGCATGGTTTTAGATTCCATATTGTAAATTAACTTTGAAGAAACTAAACTTGTCAGATTCTTAAATAGTATCAAAGAATACCCACACTTATCTGAAAATATTGTTAAAATACTCTTATTTTTGTCCTACTACATATCTTTGTGAGGCCATATTTTTCTCATATATTTCAACTGAACAATATATTTCACAGATCGAATGCAGAGAAGATACAAAAATCCAGTTGTCTTTAATTCAAGTCATAAATTAAAGATATTTATAAAAATATAAAACAATGTCATTCTCCTCAAGTTTTTTGTTTTGGAAAAATGTAGAGTTTTTTCATAAATCATGTTTTGTTTTTTTTTTATTTATTTATTTTTTTAATTTTTTGTTTGCTAACATAGCTGTAGAAGATGAAATAAATCATGTTTTTTTACATTAACATATAATGGGATTTTATTATTAATATTATTGTTTCAAAGTAATCAATAAATATTTAAATTTTTCTTAGTTTTAATTTCTAATATGGGAAATATCAATAGATACAATGCACATAAACAAAAACTGTCTGGGGGCCCTCAAGAATTTTTGAGAGGTATCTTATTGGGAGTTCACGATGTCCCCAATAAAGATAGGGTCCCCTAGCATACTGTGTTGCAAGAGATGAGAAAAACAAATACACAGACACAGAAATAATATTTAAGAAAGTGGTGAGGTGAGGAGACCACCAGCACTCTGGTGCTAAGGTGGCAGTGACTGAACCCCAGCACTTGCTGTTTATTCTCTTTGCCATGTTGCAAAATACAATGATCTTATGTGAAAAAATCATGGGATACAATGATCAAAGGTTTCAGGGATGCCCCCAAAATCACAAGGTGTCCTAGCTAATTTCCTTCTCTTTTCTAGAAGTGAAAAACACATAATTCTTCAGTAGGTACAACCCTTTTGATCAAGGTAAACTGATTTATCCCATGCTCAAGCTATGTACATGGATATCAATCTTTAATGTCAGCAGCTGTGACCCATTTGATCAAGGAACAAGGAAACTACATGCTTCCCACTGGGAGACTGGTTTTACATTAACTGAGGCATTGTTGAGAGAAAGGGAGAGAAGGAACTTGGCCCAGTGTTCTAACAATGGAAGTCTTGAGACTCTTCTCCCAAGCTGACATATTGCAATCTACCTCTACAACCATGAGATGTTCTCATGTCAGGCTGCCCAATGGCTTTTCATGCATGAGACCCCTTAGGCTCTGAGGTTGGAGCATGCTTTGCAGTACTCCCAGATTGCTGATATATGTCCCCCAACTAGGCAGTTAACATATGCATTTATTTCTGGCTTCTGCTCAGGCAATTCCTTCACCTCCTATTCTCTCACAGCCTCAGGCATGGCATCCCTAAGTCCCAGTGGTCTTAATCCCATCAGTATCTAAATTACCACCTTAGAGAAAGGCACTCCAGTGTGAGCAGTGTTGCTCTACGTTAGCCAGCAGCCTGGCTCTTGCGTGCTGGGCAGTATGGGGCAGCGCTGGGTCTGGCTTGTCATCAGCCAGACAAACAAGCATCAATGTCAACATTAGCTGTCAGCTTTAGAGCTGTAAAGTCAGCTCAACCCTGCTATGCTGTCACTCTACCTCAATTAGGTGATCTTAATGGCCAGGTTCATATACTTCCCCTGGAATCTGGTCATCTATCTCTCTCAACTATCTTCCTGCAATGAATCTATCTCTATCTTCCTGCAATGAATTCTGAATATAATTTTTATCTCCCCTGGTCTGGCATTTATATAGTATGCTGGATGAATCTACCTTTACTTCACAATCACAAATAGCACTTTATATCGGAGTGGACTGTTACATCCAATGGAAATGGAGGGGGAGGTGATGAATTACCTGAAGTAACATGAGCTGTGTTGGGTATCTTCTAATCAGGAGCTAATCCAAGACTTCCCAGATATTTTTCAGAATCCTTGTTTATTCCAATTAGGGCCATAACTTTGACTGTAGACACTTGTATCTAGGAATTTGGCTTCCACTCAAGTTCTAAATATAATCAGCTTCTGATCTCATTCTGCAGCTGCCTACAAGAAGACAAATCACCAGGAAAGAGTACTTCTTGAATGGGGTCAGTTTCCTTATCCTCCTGGAGCAGTGCCATCTAGGACCAGAGTCAATTCCTTTCCCAACCGAAGTTACTTGGAGCCATCCAAAGCAGCCTACTTCCTTACCTGGACACTTCTCCATATCCTATGAAATGGCCCCTGTCATTGTCTCAAAGCCTCATCCATGGTAGGTACTTTACCTAGAACCTGAGACCCAACCATGAGAGTTTAATTCATTGCTTCACTGATACATACCACAGACCTGCTAGCCTTCCACCCCAAGATGTGGATATTCTCACTTTCCTTCACCCAGTGGCAGGTTAATCTGGTTCTCACTTGCACTGAGGGCCTATTGCAACTCCACTGTTAATACTAACTGTTACATCAGTCAGGTTTTTCTGTGACTGCAAAGATCCCCTTTGGTATGGGGAATTTATACAAAGATGCACAGGACTGGTGGAGTAACAAGGGAAGCCACTCCCTAGCTGCCTAGCTACTGGAGGTCCATGTGCTGCTAAGACAGAGAAGTACAACAAATCTCATGGGGAACTAGAACAAAGCCCTTAAAACAAAAGTTCAGGGTTATTTGGGTCACAATCTTAGCTTGAGAGATCTGCTCCGGCACTTAGTCTTCCTAAAATAGAGAATTTGACTGAGTCAGGTGGCCACCACTCACGTGGAGTGCCTCTACGGGGAAGTGATTCATGCCAACCCTCCCCGTGGTGTTAGCCCTCCTTATATTTAGTTGATCCACGGGCCCATCATTTGGGGTGAGGTCATCAGGCTTGTGCCACTCAGTTCCCTTGGCAAGAGCCACAGCAACTGATGCAGGAAAGAGCCTGCTTGAGTTCTTTTTGCCAAAGAGCACCTGTGGGCCAGGCATCATGGAGCCCTCATGAATTAATGGATGATCACTCTCAACTGGTTCAGTGCAATTGTTCTTAGGAAACATCTTTATAAACTGTTACAACTAAAGTCCAAATGGGGCTAACTTTTCAAAATAATGACTCCAGCTTTGAGGCTGTTCAGAGTTCAGTGGATTGATTTTCAATATGTCTGTTACTGAGCCATTTGTTGAGAGCAAATGTAGGCATCAGCTCTAAATCCCTTGAACAGCTTTGATAAATGACTTACACTTATGAAGAAGTTAAAACTATTTTAACTTCTAATGATGCCACACAGAATGATTGATAATTATCTGTAAATGTGGACTAGTATTTCCCAGACTGTGCCCTGTAGGGAACTGCTTCTAAGGAGATGTTAATAGGTTCACAGCAAAAATAAATAAGTAAATAAATGAAAAATCTTAAATCCATGGTCAACAAACTTTGGGAGGGATTTGTTTACTACAAAGGCCTCCCTTTGGATATTCACTCTCTAGCCAGTATATTTGAAGCCCTGAGAAGTTTCATTGTAAACAAATTTGCTTTAATTTTAGTTAACCAAGCATTTCCCAAAGTTACCTGAACACAAGAAATTTGCCTCATGCTTCCTCAGGTCTTAATTTTAGGATATATTTATCTATGTAAATTTTAAGTCAAATGTATAATTTTGAAAAATGTGTAGAACTGAAATGGAACAAGATAGTGAATAGGCCTTGCCTTAAATCAGGTCCTCAGGAAGCAAATCCTGGGATAAAGACTTGTGTGGGACGCTTGCTGGGTGGTGGTCTCAAGTTTGACTATAGCCCTGGGGAGAGGGAGAGGTTGAACTACATTGTAGTCAGAAGAGAGATGTTATGGTAGTGGCTCCCATAGCCCTTCAGAGTCGTCCAGCCTGCAGGCAAGAGGGCCAGGCATTTAACCCTCATCCCCAGGTTTCTTCCAGGGAGGGGCCATGATCCTGCCTGGGGGCTCTGTCCAGTTGAAGCCAATTCTTGGAGAAAAGCTCAGCTGGAGTCCCCATTTCCTAGAAAGGCCATCAACAATTGGGAGATTAAGTGCCGCAAGCCTAAAGAGGGCAGTGGGGAAGTGCCACAGCATCCCTTCCAACCCACTCTGCGTGCCACTTGGACCCATGTGCTTTGTAGAGTGGCTTCTGGGAAAAGCTCCTCCAGAGTTCTGGTGGGTCATTTTTCTTGGTGAAACTTACAAGAGAAAGGAAATGCAAGGAACTACAGCCCACCACTGCAGTTCATATACAGGTTGCAACTGATACTCTTCGTCTCCCTCCTTGGCTACCATTTTGGATCCCCTCATCCACAGATGGCAACTTTGTTGGTCTAGGTGGCTTACCTGATGTGGTGACCAGATGGTTACCTGAGGGGCCTGAACCTCATAGCCCTGACTGCTGCACTTCCATGTGTTATCTATATTGGATGCTGAACATTTTCTCCTCTGTCTCCATTGTGTAAGAAGAGCCCTACCTCCTCCTTATAATTGAGGCAGGATGGTGACAGCTTTCCCTGTTTACTGCTGGCACAAGGAAAAGTGGCTCACTGACAGCCACAGCTAAACATTTAAAGGGGAAAACTTGCTGGATCTCCTGGTGAAAGCAATTTTTTTCTCTCTAAACGAGAACCTCTAAACCCATAAATGATTAGAGGTTAACCTCTAACCATAGGTTAACCATAACTCCGGTTACAGGGATGGGGAACAAATTCTACAAGTGGGTCGGTGGCAGTGACGGTGAGTGGGAAAACTCCTTATTCTCTGTCTTGGTTTCTGGACCCACATGTTTTGCCTATTGAGGACCCAGGACCATGTGATGGCAGTCGATTTAGAGCTGTGGCTTTCAAATTTTTAGCCTCAGGACCTCTGTACATCATTAAAATCATTTTTAAACAAAAGCCTAAAGTTTTGTCTGTGCGAGTGGTAACTATCAATACTTACTGTGTTAGAAATTAAAACTGAGAAAATTTTAAAATACTTCTTTTCATTTGAAGACAACAAAGAGGAACACATTGCATGTTAACAGAATAACATCTTAGTATACTTATTATGAAATTAGTTCTGACCTCATGAAACTCTGGGATCTGTCCTAAAGTGTTAGATTGTTCCAGAATATGAAGGAGCAAAATGAAGAACAAAACTTGGTAAGCGAATTTTACTTGCCTTGGTTTGTAATACCTGATTCTTAAAAGAAGCTTTAGAAGGTGTTAAAATTTGAGTAAAGTCTCATCTACTGTAATGGGCTTCCTTGACTTATTGATTAATTCCTTTGTCAACAATATGAAGAGTTATTCTTCACTTTCTGTATAATCTGCCTAGAGAGCAAAGATTCTTTACATTAACTTTGTTATATCCTTGACTGTTCAAGAAAAAATATCACAATTATAGAAGAACTTATATGTTCTTTACAATCATGTTACTTTCTATGTTTTTTTAAAAAAATTGCTATTTTAATTAAATAGATAACTGAATATCATTTTCAGGTGCCCATAATACCTAGACGTAGTCCCTTAATCAAATGTCCAAAATCTCCTCTGACAACTTTTGAATTTTGCCTTCTCAATATCAGATCCAAATATAGAAATGTAGGGGGAAAGAAAAGAATGTTTCAGAATACCTTTTACATCCAAATCTATTTTGAGATTTCCCAGAGGGTTCCTGAAAAAATCACAAAGATTTATTCCTTTCACTTTATAAGAAAAGAAGTGCTAGAGATAATTAGGTTTGTGACATGTTACTATTGGAAAGGGTCAGGGGAAAAGTTAACAAATCAGAAGAGACACTTAGTTAAATTTGGAGAGATACAATATTTTGTTAATATAAAGATTTTTAGAAATTATATGATACATGGAAAGTCCCTGGATATTTGCCAGTGCACGTGCACTACATGTGTTTTAACTTCAGAGGAAACATTAACCTAAACCCTTGAGTTTTTCTACATTTGTCAGAATCAGGGTGGTGCTGTGTCTGATGATATTAGACAATAACAGTATACTATTAGTCATAATTTCCATTATTTAAAATGTTAACTTTGTCACAGCCTTAATTCTTTAATTTGAACCTAGTATATTCTACACCACTGATTTTCAATTGAGGATGCACATCAGACCTACCTAGGGAGTTACATAAAAATATAGATGTCTAGGACCTATGCCAAAATTACTGAATCTCTCCATATTCTTGGTATATTCTTAGTATATGCTTGCTATGATCTTGGTATATTATTATATTATGTCTCAGGATTATTATGTTATATCTCAAAGGTTTTTCCTCTATAAAATTGTGTGCATTTATTTTTGTAAATCAGATGTAACATTCACTGGCTTCTCTGAAAATAGGCTTAATCATTATTCTTAGAGACATGATGTCTAAAAGTTTGTCTTGGAATGGCTTTATCATCTTGTTATACATGCCACAGAAGCAATCAAATTTCCTTGACAGGTACATTATTCTTATAAATTCTCATCAGACCTTTACATTTGAAAAGTATTAGTAATAAATTAACCACAGATATTTTTCTCTGGAATATAAGATAGTTTTATTTACTCTAATGCTTGCCTGAAGGTTCTGCTATTAGCTACAGGCCTGAGTCTGTGTCTCCAACAAAGAAGGACTGTCTCAAAGCCCCATGGCAAAGGACTGTACTGGGGACTTCAAACTTGACTCTTTAGAGAATAGACTTTTAGGTATAGGGTTCTAATGCATTACTTAGACAACTTGCAGGCCATAGCGGTGGGCTGAGTCAGGATTTCCAGGACTCTTCTCAGTTACAAAGCATACAGGTTCATGAGATTTTTAACTTAAGATCCAGTGGAACAGGAATTAATTATATCGGACTGAATAAACTGATGAGAAAAAGTTTATTGTGGTTATTGTTTTAGAATATTGTTCATGTTGAAATGTTCTATTTTCCAGATTTAAAAGCAAGCAAGCACTTTCTTTTTCCTCTTAAACTCTCTGTAATCCATAACAATTTAGTAGACTCTGCTTTTATATACTGAAATGTAACATTTTGAAATGATAACTGATTCTTGCCAATCCCCCTGAAATCAGAAACTCTTATTAAGTCTCCTCATTTTTCCTGGCAATATAGCTATTTGCATAAATTCAGTAATCTTTTTTTAAAAATCAGAATATAATTGGGAAAATCAATTATGCAACCAATGCCTTGCCTGGAATGTCATACTTGAGAATAATCACATTAATGGAACTTAGGGGGCCAAGTCTTATAAGGTCTTCCCAGTAAAACTAGTCTGGTGCCTGGCTCTCAAGGTCCTGACCATGGCTGAGACTGAAGGAGCCACTTCAGGATGGTCACTTGTGGGTGTTGGCAGTGTTCACTGCTGCTGGCTGGAGACCACAGGGCCTTTGCATGGGCCTCCTCATGACACGGCAGCTGGAATCACCTCAATTCACTCTTCATGAGAGAATGAGCAAGAAGGAAGTACCCATCCTTTTTATGGCCCAGTCTCAGAGTCACACTGTACTTCTGCCTTATTCTATTCATTAGAAATGAGTCACTATGTCCAGCCCACACTCAAGGAGACAGGAATTAAGCTCTACTTCTTGAAGGAAAGAATATCAAAGAATTTGTGGACACATTTTAAAACTTACCATAACCGTCTTCCAAAGCCCTGGCCCTTTTCATCATTTTAGGCTCCATCTTCACCCTTGGATGAATAATTGTATGATTTAATGACTGAAACAGTCTTTAAACAAATAGTAATAAAACAAAGCAGGTCATAATTGTGTGCTATTATAGAGGTATGAAAAGTGCTGGAAAAGGGCTTTCAACCCAACTGAAATGATCTAGGGAATTTCCACAGAGGAAGTGGCATTTGACATGAGTCATGAAAAATGAGAGGATTTCAAGTGTCAAAGATTAGAAGCAAGATGAAGGAAGTAGCCAGGTGACAGGAGCAGGATGGTACAGAGGCAGGAGAAAGCACGTCGGCTCTGGGGAACTGAGAACAACACAGCGTCACTAAAAACGATTAAAATAAAATAATGAATCTTTAACTTTAAGGAAGAGAGTGGTTGTGGGATCATGCACCAGGGAGATCACACTGGTAGAGAAGGCTGGTTAGGGATAGATGAGGCGAAGCTTCATACACCAGGGTCAGCACATCAGAAATTCAGGAAAGTTTTCTCTAAGGAGAGACTGACGTGATTAGATCTGTGCTTTAGAAAGACCAGCCTGGGATAGTGGGAAGATGTGGTCAGAGCAGGAGAAGCTGGAAGGAGACGGCCCAGTGGAAGGCCATCCTCCTTCAGTGAGCAAGTGCCCTGTTCACCCCACAGTGCAGCTCAGAGGGCGGCATCCTGGCTGCACACTGGAGTCACTGGGGTGCTTCTTAAATCTCAGCCCTCCCCAGGGTCTGATTTAATTGTTCAGACATGGGTTCAGGCACCCCAGGTGATTCTAATTTGCACCTGGGTTGAGAAAAGTATGACTGAGAAAGGGAAGTCAGGGCAATGTCTTCTCAGCTCCACCCCCTAGGTCCTTGGGTCCTTGTCCCTCAGTTCCCTGTGTTTTTACTATTTCTAAGTTCCACAAAGTAGCAGCCCTATTTTGTCTGACTATTGTATCCCACACAAAGTGTTTCAAGTTCTCAAACTGCTTATCTTGTCCCATGACCCAGTGAACTTTCATTTCCTCAGGGCAGCTGCTGTCAACTAGATAGAGTAAGAGGTAAGTAATCTGATTAGACTAATTCACACTAAAATATGAATGACTGATGACCCAGTAACCCATCTAAGGGTATTTGATTTTTAAACTTTTTTCTAACCTCCTTAAAAATAATTTATATATTCTCTTTTAAACTATGTTTGTTTTGCTCTTCTCTTTTTATGTACACATACACATACATTTTTCTGAACCATTCAGGAGTAAGTTGCAAGTGTATCCTCAAATACTTCAGTGTGCATCTCCACTAGGATTTGAATTTGTTCCCCCAAAATCATGATGTTGAAATTTAGTTGCCATCGTGATGCTATTAAGTGGGTGGGAAATCTGACTAAAATTCATATGCTGATTGCAGGTGGGGCCTTTGGGAGGTAATTAGGATTAGAGAAGGTCATCGGCGTGTTCCCCACCAGCAAGAAGGTCCTCATCAGATAAGGCCCCTAAACCTTGGACTTCCCAGCCTTTAAAACTATAAGAAATATAGGTCTTTTTTTAAACAAAATGAATTACTCAATCTCAGGTATTCATTTATAACAATAGAGAACAGACTGAGACAATCTCCTAAGAGCAAGACCAAGAACATTCTCCTACATAGCCACAATATACTCACCAATATAAGTACATTAACATTGATATAATACTGCTCTCTATACTACAGACTTCACCCAACTTTCGCTGATTATCCTGATAATATCTTTTATAGAAACACAATAACAACAACACCATTCCTTTCCCACTTTCCTTTCTGATCCAGGATGCAATACATAACCACACATGGTATTCATTTGTTATGCCTCTTGTCTTAGTCATTTTCTGTTGCTATAACTGCATACCTGAGACTGGGTAGTTTATTTAAAGAGGAAATTTATTTCTTATGTTTCTGGAGGTTAAGAAGTCCAAGGTCAAGGGTGTTTTTGCTTGTGGGGACGCTCTGCAGAGTCCTGAGGTGGCACAGGGCGTTCCATGGCAAGAGTACTGAGCACACTAATGTGCTAGCTCAGGTCTCTCTTTCTCATTTCATAAAGCCAATAATGCCCCACCCTTATAACTTCATCTAATCTTACTTACCTACCGAAGGTCCCACCTCTCAAATACCATTGTCAGATTGTCTACCCTCTTAATATTATTCCAAATGGGATTAAGGTTCAATGTGAGTTTCCAAGGGAGCAAACCTTCACACGACAACACCTCTTTAACCCCTTCAATCTCTAACAGTTCCTCAGTCTTCACTTGTTTTCCACCATCTTGATATTTTTGAAGAGTACAGGCCAATTGCTTTGCAGAAAGTCCCTTAATTTGGGTTTGTCTGAGGTTTTCTTATGTTTGGGTTTGGGTTACACGTGTTTGGCAGCAAGACCACTGAAGTGATGCTGTGTTCCTGGGGCATCCCAGCAGGTGCCACACACAGCGCACTTGACCCAAATGCTGCTCTCAGCTTCCATCACTGGGTTAAGATGGTTTCTGCCAGGTTTCTCTGTAAAGTTAGTATTTTGTCAGTAATTAGTAAGAATTTTATAGGGATACACTGTAAGACCATATAAATATTCCAATCCTCATCAAACCCCTCACCCATTAGTTCCAGCATCTGTTGACGATGCTTAGCTGAATCCATGATTGCTACGATGGTTGCCAAATGGTGATTTTCTAACTTTCTCATTTCTTCTATAATTAGAAAATTTAGTTAGCTTGCTACTATAAAAGAGAAAACTTTTCTTTCTCCTCCATTTATTCATTTATTTATATAAACATGGACTCATGAATTCCTATTGTATTCAATAGGTTGTAATAAATTAGGATCATTATTTATTATGTTTCTCAAATTGGCTCAGATTTGACCAATGAGAACCTTTGCAAGCTGGTTGGGATATTTGACTTTCAGAAGCTGTTTTTCATCGAAATATGTCTCCAAGTAGTAAGAGTAAGGCTTTAAAAAAAAAATGAAGCTGAAAGTGCAAGAAGCATGCTAGCAGGGGATGGTGAACAGCTTAGCCTTTACCAAAGCACTAGCTTCCAAACTATTCTAACTTTTTACAACTTCTTCCCCCTTCCCTGTCCTAAGATGAAATTAAATGCTGGAGCTTGGAGGGATCTTAGAGACCATTAGGCCCATGGTACCAGAACACTGGTGTGTGCCTGGGGCTGTGTGACTGCAAACCCTAGAGAAGTGGTTTAACAGAACAGATACCCGTACCCCACCCAGATTGATTCTTATTCAAAGGGTAGACCTCATGGGATGGGCCTTTTGTGTGTTTATCAAGCCTCCCAGCTGATTCCTATGCTCAGCCAATCCCCACCCTACACCCATACACATATACTATTTTTTTTTTACAAGTGAGGAACCAGTAACCCAGAGAGGGAAATCCATGTGCCCTGGTCATACTGCTAGTGTCAGAACTGGGAGGCTTCCTGGCCAGTTGACACCTGGGTTTTTTTTAGACAGGGACTCCCTATGTTGGCCATGGCTAGAGTGCACTGCTGTCATCATAGCTCACTGCAGCCTCAAACTCCTGGGCTCAAGTGATCCTCCTGCCTTAGCCTCTGAGTAGCTGGGACTACAGGCATGCACCACCATGCCTGGTTAATTTTTCTATTTTTTGTAGAAATGGGGTTTCTCTGAGGCTGGTCTTGAACTCTTGGCCTCAAGAAATCCTTCCACCTTGGCCTCCCAAAGTGCTAGCATTATAGGCATGAGCTATCCATTGCTCCTGGCCAACATCTGCTTTTTGCCCTCATCGTGCTATCACCTTCCAGTTCTTGGAAAGCTCTGAAGGTTTTGAGCCCTTACAACTGTTCTCATACAGTGAGAATGAGGAATTTACCCACAGAATGGACAATGCTAAAGTGAAGTGTTTGTAAACTGGGAGCTATTTCACTTATTTACTTGACACTTATGTGCAATGTACTTAATTTATTTTATGTTGATCCCAGAGTTTCATTACTTTAAACCGAAAATAATAATAATACCTACTTCATACAGTCATTATGAGCATTAATTTTAGAGATACCATAAGGGAAGTCCTGCCAATTTTTCTAGCTAAATATGCATTTACTACTCCCCCACCCCCAAACGCACACACACACACACACACACACACACACACACACACACACACACACACGCTCCACTAGTGTCACTTAAGGAAGCACATTCCACTGCCGCTTCTATCTCCCTTCCCTACTGACCCCTTACTGAGAACATCAGCGGTATGCCCTTTCACCAAATAGAGCAAGACGGGGTAAATGGATGCCATTGCACTGTACACACATGTCCCCATGAGACCTTCCAAGCTATGGCCGCCGCCACCCCACCCCATGGGTTATAGCAATTTGACTATTAAAACAAACTAACCCTCAAACATGCAAACTGTATAATTCATGAATTCCACCGAACAATGATGCAGCCACACCACCTTACAAAAGCCATCCACTATTTTAAAGGCTTTGTGGCACTGCAGTGGAGGAGGGGGAACATCTAAATATGCTCATGAAGGTGGATAAGCACGATACAGTGCAGTGTGCTCAAGATCTCAAGCAATCACTGCTCGTTTTTTCATTAGGTGGGTCATTTGTTGGACTCCAGCTCTTTTCTGATAACTTCCATTCATTCTCTTCCTTAAGGAATCTTCAGGACAGGGCAGCACTGGGGGCTAGGACTCCTGAGCACCTAGCAGGGCTCCATTTCTCCACTCTTCCACTGTCTTCCCACTTGCCGAGGCCTAGGGCTCCAGAGGAGGATGGGCTCTCCTGATGCTATGAGAGTAGGTGAAGCTAAGAAGTGGTTTGGGGTGAGGACAGCCGGGCCCTAGAGGCAGAGAATGACTGCTAAGTCTGTACAACACTGGGCCAGATAGAGCTGCTTAAGCTGCCTACTGGGGATGGAGTAATGCACTGTCACTACTAATTAAAAACAAATCTATATTTGGCCTATGCATGCATAAGGCACCAC